TTATATATTTTTAAATTACTGTTGTTACATATATGTATGTGTGTATGAACAAAATTATAAATACAACTTGCTGAGTTCATTTTTGTTTGTGCATATACAGTTTCAGGGCTGATCATTGTGTGTTAGCTAACCAATTAGGCTGCTCAACTATGGAAGAGGCTAATTCTCCTCCTCCAAACAGTCCTTAGCTGCCTGTGTTTGTTTTGGGCTGGCACACTATGAAAATTCCTCCTTTCCATGTTAGCATGTCTATTGGTGTTGCTATGTTCCAGTCTTGTTTATGCAGCCATGTCTAGGAGAGAGTAGTATTTTAAAGTCAAGTAGTGGGATGCTTCCAGCTTTATTCATTTTGCTCAAGGTTGCCTTGGTTTACTGACCTTCTTTGTTATTCTATATTAATTTTAAGATAGTGTTTATAATACATGTAAAGAGTGTCTTTGGAATTGTATTAAATCAGTAACTTATTTGCATAGCCATGAACATGTATTCTGCCTTCTCTACTTTCTAAAAAGATCAATTTTGAATAGTCCCACTTTTCTGTAGAAAACCCTCTATTCTAGAGAATAAACTCAGGACCTAAAACATCTAGTAATATTGCCTGAAACTGCCTTCAACACGTATTTACTTTAAAAAAATTGCTTTAAGAATTCAAACATTGCCTAGTCTTATTATAACGTGTTATGCCATGTTTGGTTGATATCCTTGGCCTGTTCTTTTCTGAAGGGAAACGGAGGAAGAGCAGAGGGTCTCCTGGGTTTTGGGTCTTGAGGAAAAAGAGAGGTAGGGGAGGGACTGGGAGGAGAGGAGGGAGGGAAAACTGTAGTCCAAATGTAATACATGACAGAAGAATAAATTAATTTTAAAAAGAATCCAAACTCCTTATGTCTGCACTAAATAAAAGATAAATTAAAATAAAAAAATTATCCATGTAATGGTGGAACACTTTAAAAAGTGTTTTATGTTTTGGAACTTTAAGTTGTTTACCTCTTATGCTACTTTTTACTGTGGCAACAGATAGACTTTTTGCTCTTTCTTTCTAATGTGCTAGCTAAAGGCTGGGCAAGCCTGTCCTCTCTTGCATCCTTGTGTATCCTGGTCACTGCATTCCTTTCTGGGCTTCTCAAAGGCTCTTTCCCAACTCACCACTCCTTTTACTTTTTCAACTTCTGAGTGCCATGCCAATTGAATAACCATTCTCAAATTCTTCATGCCTTCATCTCTTAAGCATGTTCTGCTGACATTTGTGTTTTTATAGCTCCACGGTGGCTTTTTGATTACTTGTGATATTTTCGCTGAGTAAGTTCTTTCCAGAACTTCTGGTTTGGGGTGGATAATTGCAGGAAGGTTGACTTTTTTTTTTTAAATCAGCACTCTCTTTTGGAGCTTGATCCAGTGTCTCAGGATCAGGCCATCTTAGCTCAGAGGGGTGCTTTTGTGGTACATGACTGCACTGTGTCCTCACAGCTTATTGAAGTCGTGGCTGCTTTCCTGAAATGTAGTCCAGTTTTTACTTTATTTGGTGACTCTTCTTCATAGAGGGCAGTTTCTCTCATAAACAGCCAGATTACTAAACAACGTTTCTATTGCTTTCCATCCTCTCTGTTATTTTTCATGGGTTTCAAGTAGAATCAAAAAACAGACATTTTTATTCCTTCTTCCTGACAAGGGAGTTTTACAATAACCCTGAGCTTATCTTCTCTCTGTTCTCTTTAGATCATTCAAAACAGAAACCAGAATATGGGACTTTCAAACATTTTTTGTAATTTATTTTAGAAAGTAATTTCCAGACACTTAGAAATAGATTTATCGGCTCCAGATGGAATGGCCTAACTCCCCCAGTCATGGGTTTTATCATCCTTTACATGTCAGCAGTACTGAGTTATTTATGTTTCTGATAACGTCTATGAAATTTCAGTCCTGGCTGTTTTATGTACCCATTGCTTCTGTCTAGAATTTTTCTCTCACTTACTTAATGAACTTTTCTTAATTCCCTAAAGCTGGGTCAACATGGCTTTTACCTTTAGAGTTTGTTTTATTCTTCGGGAACATGACTGATCTCTCTGCCCTCTTACCCTTTTCCTTCATACACATTTTTATTTTGTACTTTTCACTGTGATGAGCATATTTTCTATGTTATGTCATTATGTTATAAGTTGTTTTTTAAATTATTCAGTAGATTATGACTTTTTCTGATACTGATTTTATGTTTCTCCATTACTTCATGTGGGACAAACATTTGGGAGCTTGCTGCATGCATTAATTCAAAGAAATTAAAAGACTCCAGCATGAATGATAATAATTTAGGTTTAATAAAACAAAATAATAAATTTAAAATGCAGTCTTTGATTCTACTTTGGGTTTTCCTGTTGTCTTTTTTTTTTTTTTTAATTTCCTGAATTTGAATGACGTAAGAATGTAAAGAGTACTAACAAAGCAGTAAAACATGGCAAAACATGTCTGTTCGGTAGATCACATAGGAGAGGAGATACACAACGATGGAGAGAAGACTCTACATCGCTGAATTAGTAAATGTTGGTAATAGTTCCCAGTGTGAAGGCAGCATCTACCTCTAAGTCTGTGTACATGGAAGTAACTTAAGTAAGTTGTGGCCCGTGTCTCTCAGGTATAGCGGGAAGAGTAAGTGTGGAGCTTCCTGTGTGCCTCGGCTGTGCACTTGGCTCTCAGGAAGATGATCCATTCCTGACATTCAAGCCTCTTTTAAAAACAACTGCTTATGTTGCTCATTGCAGGGTGTTTCTTCTCTCCTGAGCTGAGTTCTGTGAAAAGTCGTTTGCCCATTTTCAGCCTAAATGGATGATGTACATGGCTCAGTTGTATAATCTGGTGACGTTCTGCAGTGAAAGGTGAAATGCTGAGTGAGGGCTGAAATATTCCATATGTCTTCAAACTCCCCAAGTCCTGGAGTGTGGGAGATGTTCAGCCACAGAAATCTGACATGACTAATCCTTGCAAAACACTATGAAACTGATAGTTTGTCCTTGCTGCCTGGATATACTTCAGATTGCATCCCCCTGAGACTTTAACAGAGACATGTGGACTTTTTCAGATTTAGTATTAAATGTTTTGCAAAAAGTCAGTAAAGAATGTGCCTCAAGGGCTCTACCTGAGCCATGCAGGAGGCCATGGACATGGGTTTCTCTTTTTCTCATTCTCCTTCAGAAATTGATTATAAATATGTGTTTTCTTACTTTCCATAAAAAAAGAAGTAAAGATGTTTTTATTGCTGACTCATCATTCATACCCTAGGCAACTTCATTCACACATGTTATTTACAATCTATGTTCTTTAAAATCAACTTTTAATTTCATTTTACCTTCAATTCAACACATTCCCCGTTTAATTATTGTTCCTGCTAAAACAGGTATGGGTATCCCTATTGCTGGATGCCGTGGGCATCTTTTGACTCTTAGGGAGCTCTGAAGCAGACCCTTCTCCTTAAGGTCATTTGAAGGCAACATGATCACTTTTGAAGAGCCTTAGAATGTATCTGATTCTAAATATCAACACGGTGGTACCGAAATGCATCCAATTCAACAAATGTGATGAAAGGTCCTGCTTTTTCTAACTATAACATGTTTCCACATTGCTAGGAGGTAATAAACTGCAAAGACCAGTATGTGAACAGCACCAAATCTGAGTGCTTTGTACTTTAAGAGGCTTATCAATAAGTTCCAACAGGGGAGGCCAAGTGTTTCCTGGTTAATGATGACTTGGCGATGTGTCGATTCCTGCTCATTATTCTTCTAGTGCCTCTTGGACACTTTTTTTTCCCCCACCAAATCTTGGGATTGTCTCTTTCATGTGCAAAATTCTACTTGAAAAGGCTCACGAGGCTGAAATGGGTTGGTGGTTTGCACTAGTGAATGGTCTCCCTTTCTTTCCATCACTACTAAGCATGCAACCATTGCTGTACTCACAGGATAACAGTGATATTGCTGATCAGTAGATCAAGGCCAGCAGCAGCATGCATTCTCACATCGTTTAACATTGCTTCAGCAACTAGTACATCTTTGAATGGACTCACATTTTCATTCATACCACCACATGTGTGAACAGTGGGGACATATTTTTATGGTTGAGATGATGTTCCATATATGGCTGTGATAGTTAGAGCTAAACTTACAGGTGATATATAAAAGTTACTGGTTTATTATATTTATGAGATTCCAGTGATTTTTGGTCTTAGCCTGATTTTCATAGGTTTGGTGATATTAGACTATCACACAGAGGGTCTGTCTTAAGCTCATGCAAACATTAAATTTTATGAAGAGTTTTGGAAACAGGAAATTAATGATAACTGTGTATTCATTTTCTTTTACTTCTGTTACATTTTAAAATATCTAACCATGTCCATTTGTGCATAAAATCTAGCACACATTTGTGTGTCTGGCATTTGGTCTAGGTGTTTGGGGTTGGGCATTATTTTTCACTTGACAACATATTTCAGTGGATTCTCCTTCTTCCAATATAAGTTCAGATTTAACTAAATTTGTTACAGCCTACTGACACCATGCCTAAGTTGCTGACATTATGGTAACCCAAAATATTCAATCCATCTAGATAATATGGAAGTGCTATTGATTAGAACTACCTTTCAACAAGTACATTAGTTACAACTACTATACTGAGTTTCTCCTTAGCTGACTTTTTCTTAAGATTTATTTATTAACTTTTTATTTAATGTGTCTGAGTGTTTGCCTGCATGTATGTATGTGTACCATGTGTGTTCCTGGTACCCATGGAGGCCACAGACAGTATCAGAGCCCCTGGAACTGGAGTTAAGGATGTCTGTGAACCATCATGTAGATGCTGGGAATTAAACCTGGGCCTCTGAAATAGTAGCAAGCACTCTTAACTACCAAACCATCATCTCTCTAGCCCCACTTTAACTGAATTTTGACTATATAATTTCTGTAAAATTATTTATACTTATTGTTATCATACATAAAATATTTATCATGTTTATATTATCTTTTTAGGTCACCAGTCTCTTCAGAAGATCATGGTAAGAACATGTCATTTTTTATACTAAATTTTACACCCAAAATTTGTCTCTTATTATAACTCAGTGTCAGAGCAGAAGATTACAAGAAACTGTCTCAAAGATATTAACCCTGTAGTTTTTTAGTGTGAAATGCCAAACATTTTTAAAAAATATGATCTGCAGAAACTGTATTTGATATCTAGTATTATTTTCAAATCAGTGTGGCCATTTTGGTTGACAAGCATTATGAAATATAATATCTTCTGCCATCACAAATGTTTCATAACTTTTAAGGTAAGCATGTATTTTTCTGTAAGTCAGATTTTCGTATCTCAAATGAGAAGGGGTTCTAGGAGAGGTCACCCAAGGCCCTTCCAGGTTGGACATTGTGAGTCCACATCTCCGTGCACATGTTGGCAGAGTGCTTTAAATATGAGATGAAGCTTATCAGCAAGTGAGTGAGTGGTTACTCAGAGGTGTGAATTTTTCTTAAGGGACAACTGCTTCATTCAAAGGACAAAACATCTAATTATGTAATTTCTAAACTTTGATAAATTTATTCCATCAGTCACTCAAAATTGTTAGGTGGCTATAATGGTTCATTATACCAGAGAATGATGTTTCACAAATATCTATATTCAAGTTTAGCTGGGGACTTGTTGATGTCTTTCTTGGACTTTTGGAATTGTCCCATAACCATAAACCACACATGTAGATTACCCCTTTCCAGTTTACTGTGTGCATATAGAACCTTTCGCATATAGGGATGACCACTTTACAACAGACCAAAAATTATTTTTGACCTTTTGATATTGTATTTTAAAACAAGAGCTGCTAGGCTCTAAATAGAGTCTTTATTTTCCTCTACTGCTTATTGTTTTATCTGCCATCTTGTCCTGTTCCCCTGTCAATAATCCACACTCTAGGTGAATCACTCTGTATCTAATTTCTGGATAATTTTTTGCATTTCTTGCTTTCATTCTTGCTGTCCCCTGGAAGGAAATGGCTCCTGCTTTTTGTTATGTAGTGGTTTCAGCTCACCCTTTTTCATCTTCTGTGGAAGCTCTCGATCCACTTATTGGGCCATCTATTTTTCTGAGCTTAACACAATCATCTGATGCTTTCCTTAGCTGGCTTCTCAGACTGCCAATGTTTCTGATATAGTGTTCAACAAAAAGCAAGCATTAAAATGTATTTATTAAGTGAATGAATTAAGGAAATGGAGAAGGAGTTTTAGGCTGTCTCTCCTGCTGCTACATGTTGAAATCTTTCCTAATGTTGGAATGAAGTTGTATCGTGTTCTCCGAAGAATTGTAGGAGAAATTATGTTCAAGGCCCATTAAGTCAGAATTAGGTAATCAACCACCTAATGGTAAACCGTTATTACATGCTATGTTGCTGATTGTTGCTGGTATGAATAGGATTTTGATTGTATATTTATAACTCCTTCAGCTTCCATGTCCAAATGATAAATTAGAAATGCGTGTTTTCCTTTATTTTGAATTATTACCCTTAATAACCTTTGGCTGCTTTTGTCTTCCTATCCATAAGAGTACATCCTCTATTCACAAGGGCAGGGAGTCCAAATTAAAGTTCTACATCCCACAGGGACTTCTTAACGGGTCTGGGGAGAGCTCTAGGCATATGTTAGGGTCCTCTGGAGCTTTAGGAGGCGACCTGTACCCAAATAACTTGCTTTTGGAGTTACGAATATTTTAACAACTCTTGTGTGTTTAATTGAGGAATTACTGTGCAAATTAGATGAGTATCACATTTCAGTGAATTAAAAAATTTATTATATATTTACGCCTCTGTCTCCTGAAACTTCTAAAAATAGTTTAAACATGCATGCTGATTTATCTATATAGTCTAATTATTCATTATTTACTAGTCTGCACATACTTAGGGAAATATTTTTATGTATTTCTTTATTTCTATGATTTTCTACCTGACACACACTATATGTTTTTTTACATTTATGTATTTTAGGAATTAATATTTACTGTGGCCATCATAAAATACTTCAATTTTACACCATTACTCTTGCATAACACTTGCATGTTGTAAAGATACTGCAATGCATTTGTAGGAGAGGTGAATCAAATTGCTCCAGTTTATTCTAAAAGGATTGAGGCACATTGGCAAATGGATTGTGAAACCAGAATATAAAAATCTGAGGCTCTCGGTTTTCTTTCTTTCTTTCTTTCTTTCTTTCTTTCTTTCTTTCTTTCTTTATTTCTTTCTTTCTTTCTTTCTTTCTTTTTTCTTTCTTTTTCTCTCTTTCTCTCTCTCTTACTTCAAAGCTTTATTGTGAAGGACAGAGGGCAGCACTTCTGCCTCGCCCCTGCCCAAACCTTTAAACTGTGGTCATTCTGATATCCCTGGTGATCTCCTTCATGATGTCCATTGGAGTGTGGAGAAAGTGTAACCAGGAAAGCTCAAAGCTTCCTTACCTAAAGACAGGCAGTATTATTTACAGTTCACCTTCACGCTGGAGGCAAGAATCACACTGGAGTTTATCACTAAGTCAATTTATTTTTACATTTTAAATGTCCCTGCTACAGATTTTCACTATTCTGGTGACTTCTTGTTCTTAATTTCCTGATATATACCATGTCTTCATCCTTCTTTGGAATTTTTGCACCTTTTTTGGTACCTCAACTTACTCTTGGCTTAGGTTCACTGTCCAAAGTGGGTCCAGTTTTCTTGGCTCTTAAAGCCCAAACATCTGAATGTCCAGAGACTCCTTTCTCTTTCTGAGTCTTTTTTAAATGTAATTTTATTTATATATTTGTTTATTACAATTTATTCACTGCAGCCCCCTCCCTTGTCTTCTCCCAGTCTACCCACCCTCCCTCTTCTTCTTCCTCTATGTCTTTTCCCTAGTCCCTGATAGGGGAGGACTCTCTCCCCTTCTATCTGACCCTAGCCTATCAGGTCTGATCAAGACTGGCTACATCATCTTTCTCTGTGCCTCCTTCAGGGGGAGGTGATCAGAGAACCTGCCACTGATTTCATGTCAGAGACAGCCCCTGTACCCCGTACTAGGGAACTCACTTGGAAACTGAGCAGCCAATGGGCTTCCTTTGTATAGGGGGTCTAGGTCCTCTTGATGGATGGTTCTTAGTTGGAATATCAGTCTCTGAAGGGCCCTGTTTTTTGCTCTGTTGTTCTCTTTGTGGAGTTCCTGTCCCTGCCAGGTCTTTCTATCTCCCTCTTCTTCCATAAGGATTCCAACACCCTGCCCAAAGTTTGGCTATGAGTCTTAGTATCTCCTTCAATATGCTCATGGGTAAAGTCTTTCAGAGATCCTCTGTGGAAGGCTTCTTTCCTGTTCCCTGTATTTTCCCACTTCCAATGTCTATTCTATTTGCCCTTTTGAGTGAGGATTAAGCATCTTCCCTAGGGTCTTCCTTGTTGTTTACCTTCTTTAGGAGTATAGATTTTAGTATGTTTATCCTATATAATATGGCTAATATCTACTTATAAGTGAGTATGTATCATTTGTGTCTTTCTGCTTCTGCGATACCTTACTCAGGATGATATTTTCTAGTTCCTACCAGTTGCCTACAAATTTCATGTTTTCCTTGTCTTTAATTGCTGAGTAGTATTCCATTGTGTAAAGGTACCACAATTTCTGTACCCATTCCTCTATTGAGGGACTTCTAGGTTGTTTCCTGATTCTGGCTATTATGAATAGAGCTGCTACAAACATGGTTGAGCAAATGTCCTTATTGAATGGTGGGTCATCTTTTGGGTATATCACTAGGAGTGGTATAGCTGAATCTTGAGGTAGCACTATTCCTAATTTTCTGATAAATACCATATTGATTTCCAAAGTGGTTGTACAAGATTACATTCCCACTGGCAATGGAGGAGGGTTCCCCTTTCTCCTCTCCAGAATTCATCAGTCCTTGAGTTTTTTATTTTAGCCGTTTTTGATGGGTGTAAGGTGAAATCTCAGGGTGGTTTGACTTGCATTTCCCGAATGACTAAGGATGTTGAGCATTTAAGTGTTTCTCTGCCATCGAATATTCTCAACATAAAACCAGACACACTAAAACTGTTAGAAGAAAAGGTGGGGAAGAGCCTTGACCTCATTAGCACAGGAGACACTTCCTAAACAGAATACCAACAGCTCAGGCTCTAAGATCAACAATTAATAAATGGGACCTCATGCAACTGAAAAGCTTCTGTAAGGCAAAGGACACTGTTATCAGAACAAAACGACAGCCTACAGCCTGGAAAAGGATAGTGACCAACCCTACATCTGAGAGGAGGCTAATATCCAGAACATATAAAGAACTAAAGAAGTTAAACACCAGCAAACCAAGTAATCCAATTAAAAAATAGGGTACAGAGCTAAACAGAGTATTTTCTTTCTGAGTCAGATTTTTTTGTTCCCTTTCTACCAGCAATCCTATTTCCTTCGATAACAGTTGCTCTCTTTGGCTATTTCTAAAACAATTCATTCTTGGAGAAACCTAACTTAAAAAAATCCCACAGCTCTGCCTTTTCCTATCATTAAAGGTGCCCTTCAGAGGGCACGTGGTTGTGGTGACGTCACTCCTCTCTTCTTCTGTCTTTTTCTACAATGGGGCTGCTCATATCTGCACTGTGTGTCTCCTGGATGGTTGTGAACTGAAATAGGACATCCTCTGCAGAAATGACCTTCCAGTTTGTTACAGGCACCCAAAACACATGGCATTATGTTCTTCCATCCAGGCAGTATGACAGGAAATGCAGACTGGCTAGTGTTTGCTCCACAGAGCACGGATATTGAGTGTGTTGGTATGTACACAAAATCCCATCTACTCAGGAGACAGAGGCAGGAATGTTGCAATTTGGGGCCAGCAAATTCTTGTCAAAACAAATGATGAAACAAACCAAAAAGCAAGCAACCAAACAAACAAAACTAATAAAAGTTAAAACAAAACAAAACAAAAAATGTTGGTTACCAGAGAAAAATCTGCCTCTTTTAACTTCATCTGTAAACATCTACCTATAAACTTTTTGCTGGA